AATTAATATACAGAAAACTGTTGCATTTCTATACACTAATAATAGTAGTAGAAAGAGAAATTAAGGGAAATAAGGAAATAATTCCATTTACAATTGCACCAAAAAGAGCAAAATATTTAGGAATAAACTTAACCAAAGACATGTAAGACCTGTACTCTGAAAACTATAAAACATTTATGAAAGAAACCAAGGGCAACACAAACAAGTGGAAAGATATTCCATGCTCATGGATTAGAAGAACAAATATTGTTAAAATGTCTATACTACCCAAAGCAACCTACAGATTCAATGCAATCTCTATCAAAATACCAACAGCATTTTTTTTACAGAACTAGTACAAATAACACTAAAATCTGTATGTAACCACAAAAGACTACAAATTATCAAAGCAATGTTGAGAAAGAACAAAACTGTAGATATCACAATCCGAGATATCATGATATACTACAAAGTTGTAGTAATCAAAATAGTATGATACTGGCACAGAAATAGACACATAGATCAATAGAACAGAATAGAGACTAGAAATAAACCTATGATTATATGGTCAATTAATCTATGACAAAGGAGGCAAGAATATACAATGGGGAAAAGATAGTCTCTTCAATAAATGGTGCTGGGGAAACTGAACAGCTACATGCAAAAGAATGAGACTGGGACACATTCTTACACCATACACAACAATTAACTGAAATGGATTAAAGACGTAAATGTGAGACCTGAATGCATAAAAATCCTTGAAGAGAGCATAGGCAGTAAGATCTCTGACATCAGCCATAGCTATATTTTTCTAGGTATATCTCCTCAGGCAAGGGGAACAAAAGCAAAAATAAACAATTGGAATTATACCAAAATAAAAAGCTTTTGCACAACGAATGAAACCAGTAACAAAATGAAAAGGCAACCTATTGAATGGGAGAATATATTTGCAAATGATTTTTTAATAAGGGGTTAATATTAAAACTATATGTGGAACTTACACAACTCAACACCATAAAGCAAGTAATCAAATTTAAAAATGCACAGAGGATTTGAGTAGACATTTTTCCAAAGAAGATATACAGATGGACTACAGACACATGAAAAGGTGCTCAAAATCACTAGTCAAATCAAACAAATCAAAACCACAATGAGATATCTCCTTACAACTGTCAGAAGGGCTAGAATCAAAAAGATAGGAAATAACAAATGTTGGTGAGGATGTGGAGAAAGAGGAACCCTCTTGCACTGTTGGTGGGAATGTAAATTGGTGCAGCCACTGTGGAAAACAGTAAGGAGGTTCCTCAAAATTAAAAATAGAAATGCCATATGATCCAGTAATTCCACTACTAGGTATCAAAAAGATATATGCACCCCTGTGTTTATTGCATCATATTCATGATAGTCAAGATATGAAAGCAACCCAAGTGTCCATTTATAGATGAATGGATAAAGAAGTGATATCTATCTATCTATCTGTCTATCTAAGCCTATAAAAAAATTTGTGAGACCTTGCATTTGTGGCAACATGGATGGACCTAGAGGGTAGTACGCTAAGACAAATATGTCAGACAGAGAAATTAAAATACCATATGATTTCACTTCTGAAAAGTAAAAAAAAAAACAAAACTAAAAAACAAAACAAATGAACAGAGAAAGAAACAAAGAATAAATAAACAAACAAAACCAAGACCCTTAAATACAGAGAACAAACTGGTAGTTGCCAGAGAGGCAGCGGGTCGGGGGATGGGTACAATAGATAAAGGAGATTATGAGGTACAAACTTCCAGTTATACAATAAATAAATCTAGGAGATGAAAAATACAGCATAGGAAATATTGTCAATAATATTGTAATAATGTTGTAGGGTGACAGATAGTGACTAACACTTATTGTGGTGAGCACTGAGTGATATATAGAATTGTGGAGTCAATATGTTGTACCCCTATAACTAATAGTATGTTAATTATACTTTTTTAAAAAGTACACTGGTATGAAGTTAATATTTGGTTTACTCTCTGTTAAAAAGACAAGTTTTCTTGGATTATTGGTTTGCTCTTGATAAAAGATAGTAACAGTTGTGTGTGTGTGTGTTTTACCTTTTAAGTAATCTGCTTTAGAAAATAGAGTCTGTCTTACCAAAATAATTTTCTGTATTTCATGTTGTCTTTATCAAGTCTTTGATTACTTAAGAGAACTGAGTCTTCTCTACTAAAAGAGCTAAGATTTTTTAGAACTATTTAGCATTCTGTATTTGCCTTGTGAAGTCTTGTCACTATGGTTAAATGTATAACTAATTATTTCACAGTGACCTATGATCCTATTTGGCCAAGTGTTTTTAAACTTTTTGATATTTTTTAGAAAGTTCCCCCAAATCAATTTCTAAATGAAGTCTTTTTGGCCTTGAACCAACTTTGGGATATTTTAAGAGGGTCCCTGGAACTTCAAAAGATTTGTTCTCGGGGCACCTGGGTGGCTCAGTTAGTTGAGTGACCAACTCTTGGTTTCGGCTTGGGTTGTGATCTCAACGTCATGAGACAGCCCTGCATCGGGCTCCACACTCAGTAAGGAGTCTGCTTGGGATTCTCCCTCTGCCCCTCCCCCCGCACACTCTCTCTCTCAAATAAATATATAAATCTTTAAAAAAAGAAAAAGATTTGTTCTCTCTCCTTATTAAAAGAGAGATGTTAAACTAATTAAGTGTATTTGATATGTTAAATTACACAGGAAACGTGAAATAAGAAGTAATATTAAGCCTTCTTTATATTATATTTGTATAGATGCATATCATAAATGTTCTAGAAATTGTATAAAATTCCTAGAAATTTGATATATCCTAATATCACATTATCAGTCATAATTCGTTATTATTTTAAAATGTTGTATGTTACAGAAATAACCAAATTTCCTTGTGAATTCCATGATAATGAACTCTCATTAGATCTTTAACCATGGGCAATGTTAAAGTTTTTTATTATTCACAGAGAGTTATTATTTTACTCTGATATTTTTATAAGAATGAGACTCATGGGAAGGGCCTTATCAAGTGCTCTGACCACTGCCACTTTTGTAAAACTAAATTTTGAGTACATCTCAGAGCTGAAGAAGGCTCTACCTGTCATCTGGTCCTGTACAAACTTTGGAGATTTCCAAATCAAATTGACTAGGAAAAGAAATAGCCTACATTGAGCTAGACTGCTTCCACCTAAGATACCACATCAAAGCTTCATACTTTAACTAAACATCAAACCCTTCCTTCTTCTCTTTCTTTCCTTTACTCTGGCAGTGGTCTGGAAAGATAACACCATCATCCATGTCTTCCAGGCCCTTGCTAAGGGGGGGTAACCTCTCAGACTGCTGGATTTGACATCAAAAACTCCTGTCTGTGATGCTAAAGACCCTGTGGTCCTCCCTCTCATCAATGTTTCTTCTATTCTTAATTGACCCCCCACATCACGACTTAGGAGTCACTTACAAAGTCCAACTTTTTTTTTTATGTTATGTTAATCACCATACAATACACCATACACCACGATTCATTGTTTTTGTATAACACCCAGTGCTCCATGCAGTACGTGCCCTCCTTAATACCCATCACTGGGCTAACCAATCCCCTTGGCCCCCTCCCCTCTAAAACCCTCAGATTGTTTCCCAGAGTCCATAGTCTCACAAAGTCCAACTTTTAACATCAGAATATCCATGTCTTGTTTTTACCTTTCTCCAATTATAACCATACTTTGTTCAGTTAAACACAAATGCTTATGCAAATCACAGCACATTTGCACCCCTACATTCTTATGATTGTCTGAATCAGATCTGCCCCAATCACAAAAAGATCTCACTAGCAGTACCCATCTTTGCAAGGCCAAAGTTGTTCTGGATCATAGGATAGCCTTTTATTATCTTTTAGCTGAACAAGGAGGTGTTGGTGCTGGGGCCAACACCACTTGCACTCCGATAACATTTCTGGGGAAGTTGAAACTCAGATACACAAAACCACTGAATAAGCCACTTGGCTTTAGAAAGTGACTCCTTCAACCTGGTCTTTCTTTGACTTATTTGATTTTGATTGTTTTGCCTTGGGGATCATGGCTCCAAAGTGCACATCAGAAAGTGGGGATTATTCTGCTTATGATCATGACAGTAGTCTCCCTGGTTCACTGTATTCCTTCAAAAGCTTGCAGTGCATGTTGATAGCTGCTAAATGAGCAAATGATCTTGCTAAGAATGGAACATTGGAAAAAGAATGAAGAGAATGACCAACTTAAGAAATGTGAACCTGAAGTTGTGACCTATGAATACCACAGAGATTCAACAATAAGCATCATGACCTATGAATACCACACAGGGGATCAACAAAAGTCGTGAGAGCTTCAGAGCAGTAGCTGGGAGAGGTGTTAATGCCTTAAATTTTGATCACATCTCTCAGTCAAGATGAGAATTTGATCAAAAGTGGGGAATTGTTAAAAAAAAAAAAAAGACAACATGTCCAAAATGGAGTCACTTGTGCTAAGCCCACATCACCAAACCAAGACTTACTTCCTAGGTTAATTACAGTTTCAATCTCTCCCAGGAACAGAATCTTAATCCAGTCAATCACTAGCACTAGTAAGGTAATAGACTGACAGGCCCCTGCTGTCCCTTAAAGGAAGGTGACCTTGCCATACACAATCCACTCTTTGCTAGTAACTTCCTTGTTTTGCCCCCTTCTGCCTATACAAGTCTTTCATTTTGTACAGTTCTTAAGAGATCCTTTCTATCTGCTAGATGGGAAGCTGCCCAAGTCATGAATTGTTGAATAAAGCCAATGAAATCTTTAAAATTTACTCAGTTGAAGTCTGTTTTCTTAATACCACTCAACTCAAGCAGAGATAATGTTAACAAATATGCACGGCCATAGTTTGAAATCCTTGCTCTCAACCATTCCACCCTTCACATATACTCACCAGAGTTGTGATAACTTGAATAATCGATTTAAAGCCATATTACATTAAGCATTTTGGTTGTTCTCTCAGTCTTACCTTCACAAAGTTTACTGTTGAATAGTAAACCCACGGAATACAATTTGGATCATTTGGTCCTGGACCAGACCTTTTAGGGACATTCCACCTGTAGGTGTTTATTTCTCCTGAAACAAATGAGAAGAAATAGAAAGAATTTACTAGTGCTACCTTTGGTTCAGATGTTTTACCTGAAGAAATAACAAACAGGTCTTGATATATTTCGGTTAATGTTTATTGCTGGGGAGAATTACTCATCCATTAGAAATGTTCCAATTAAACTTACATCTTGATTTTCTGAATTTGCAAAATGGCATATTTTTCATTCCAGACTATGGTTTTCTTTCTAATTTGACCTTTCTATTATCAACTGATGTTTACTCAAGACACGAAGACGTATTGTATTCCTCACTGTTTTTTCTCCTCAAATTTCATATCTCCCTCCCAAGAGTTAGGCTTGAGCACACTTGAGTTACTGTGGGACTCAGCCTTGATTTCTGATTGAATCGCCAAGGAGCTTTGTAAACTCTTACTGCTGAGGTCTCATCTCAAACTAATGAAATTAAAGTATCTAGAGTCTAGGACTAGGGCATCAGTATTTTTTTTAAAGTTTCTCAGGTGATTCTAATGTGCAGACCAGTGACATCTAGTTAGAACCAGAGAGAATCAGAGAGACTTAGTTTCAAATCTCAACCCTATCATTTCCTATTTATCTAACTTTTGACAAACTACTTAACTTCACTGACCTTTAGTCTCCTTACTTGTAAAGTGGGTTAGTCATCCCACTTTTCAGATTGCTGTGAAGATTAAATAAAATAAAATACCTAGGTTAGTGCCTCACACTGAAGGCAGTCAATAAATGTTCATCTGTATGTATACTAATAACAAATGAATGCCAGGCACCACATCTACACATCCCCTGAGGCTGACCCAGAGCCTTGCGGAGGAGTCACAAATAAACTCACATAAATTGGCAAGATAATCACATTGTAAAAGTCTCAAATAAAAGCCACATTTAAATTGCTCTCTCCTTTTGAACTGTCTATGTCCCATCCCTACCTTATCAGAACATACAGCCTATAGCTGAATGCAAGCCACAAGGCAAAACAAAAATAATGCTTGCATGTAACTGCTCCATATTTGCTCATACACCAGTAGGTTAGCAATATAACCTTAGGTCTAGTTTCCATTACCTTTCATTATAGCCCCTCTGCCCTGTTAATTGCAAGATAAACTGCTGATATTTAGCTTCTTCAATGCAAGTGGCTAAGGGGTGGTGTTATTAAAGTTGGAATGATCCATTATTCACCCTGGTAGGGAGCACAGCTCTAAACAAAAGAAGATGCTCAGTGCATGCATGTTGAGTTGGTGGCATGAAAAAGAAGAAGAAGGAAAAGGAGAAGAAGAAATTTGAGAGGGACTTCTTTGCTTATCTCATGCATGCCCGAATTAACCATTCTTCTCCAACTTGTCTGGATTTTGTGCACAAAATTAGTTTCTTGCTCCTACCCCCAATCTCTGGGCTCTCCCAAGACTTTCAACCTTGTCAGACAGAGACCCTTGTGGGGATTCTCCCCCTCCAAGTTGCAGTGAGAAAAAGGCTCTTTGCCACATTCTTTTTTTTTTTTTTAAGATTTTGTTTGTTTATTTGACACAGAGACACAGCGAGAGAGGGAACACAAGCAGGGGGAGTGGGAGAGGGAGAAGCAG